ATTACAACTTCTGTGTTGTATTGTACATCTCCTGGATTGTAATTCACAATTTTGACATGCAAGAAAAAAGGCAACTTTTGTTTTGCTTTCAGGCTCAATTTGTCTGTGAAAAGTCCTGAAAAGCCCCCAAAAAAGAAAGGAAAGAAGTGTCGGCCGTAATCCGGGATTCAAAACTCATCGTTTTTCAATTTCAAACCAGATGTTGCAATTAACACAGCAAGCATGTGTTGCGAATATTGTTACCTTAGAGACCCTATTACTTGGCATGAATCATCTGCTGTACAGCATGACATAGACAAACATTTAAAATAGGAAGCAAACTGCTTAGAATAATAATTTTTTTTAACCTTATTGATCAATTTCTATGCAATCATTCAGTATTTTGTTTTCTGAAAAAAAGCCTCTGGATGTGAGCAACGTTGGCGGAGCTACAGTATTACCAGCTCCAAGCAGGTTGACAATCTATCGCTGATAGTGATGACAGCCAGGCCTAAAGGGATAAGTACACACAGAAGCCAGAAAGTGTTTCAATAAGATTTTGTCAGTTCTACAAGTCTCTTGATCATTGTACCACAGAAGAGGATGATTCAGAAAAATTCCAGAATGCTCATTCTCGGCATGGAAAAACGCTGTTGATTCCCAGTTCAGTCCATCATCATCATCATTCATTCCACTAATATGCTAGGACAGAGGAAAACTTGGAAAAAATCAAATAAATGCAAGCCAAAAGATCACCCTCTTGGCAATTCACCAAGTTTTACTTACAAGGTATTGTTATGGAAGATAATTTGTGAAATTTCAGCATAAGCTATTGGAATGAAATGCTGAAATGTTCTAAACCATCAGTGAAACTTTTTTTCAGCTGTAACTAGAGTTGGCCGAAGTGAGTGCCAAAGAGAAACAAGATGTAAAACAGTTGAGAGGGTGATCACAATTTATTTTCCTATTGAACGCGTTGATGTTCGAGCTTGGGTTTGATCTGAGTTTCCATACCTCATCAGTATTTGTTTATACCAGGGAAATCCCTATCACAATGTTAATTTTGTTACATGAGAACAAATTCCCATTACATTGCTCACTGGTGCTCCACACACCCCATGATACACACTAGTGGATGTCAACACACTATTCAATTATTATATAAAGACATCACAGCTAACCTATATTCAATCCTCATCAGGTATCCTGCACATACTTTCCAACAGGGGACACTGGACAATAATCACAGGCAGGAATTGGCATCTTTTTCAACTAATAATAATAATAATACTTGCATTTGATATAGCGCTTTTCACGTCTGGAGGATGTCCCAAAGCGCTTCACAGAACACACTGTAAAGTGAATTGACTGTATATTTGTGGGCAAACATACAGTCAATTCACTTTACAGTGTGTTCTGTGAAGCGCTTTGGGACGTCCACCCGAAGTGAAAAGCGATATATCAAATGCAAGGATTATTATTATTATTAAATCAGGGCATTGAGATAAGTTGTAGCATCCTATTTTACCTTGAAAAAGGTCAGCTAACTCTGCACAGACTGGGCTTCAAAGCATGGCCCTTCTTGTCTGTACGTCTGAGATCAAAACTAGGCAGTGCCTGTTACCATCAGAGCCAGAGGGAGAAATCTGTTTTATTACGTGTTGACTCGCAGAGAATCGAAACCTGCTCAAAATACCTGAATGGTTTTTGTATTCAGTCTCAATTTCAAAGTCGCCCATTGTACCTCACATTCATATTGTGCTTCACATCAGGAGAGTATTACAATAAAAGGGAGCCATTCGGTCTCTCAGTAAGAAGTCACAGCACTGTTTCCTCTCAAATTAGCCTGTGATATGCATTAATGAGAGCTCTCACTGAGTGCTCCGATTTCACACACTCCACCTGTTTGCATTCCGGTGAGAGAATAAGATCAGACCTTGGAGGCAGCTGACATTGTTCAGTAACAAGACCATATTGTGTTGTTTTTGACACTTACAAGAATGGGACAAGCAACCTCTCCCATTCAGCAGAAGAAAAACCATCAAAAGAGGATCAAACGTTTCAGAAAGTCTCCCATAGTACAGTTCTGCCAGCTTAATTTTGTAATTATATTTTGTGGGCGTAATTCACGCACAAAACATACAGTCAATTCACTTTACAGTGTACTCTGTGAAGAGCTCTGAGATGTCTCGATGACGGGATAAGGTGCTGTATGAAATGCAAGGATTATTATTATTTTTATCATAATGACTGAATCTTCTGCCAACAACAGAGAAACATTTAATGATGCAGTCTACTTGCCAACATCTTTGGAGTTTAAACCAAATTGAACACAAGTTCACTCTTTTTTCTCTCCTCTTTCCACCCCCCACCCTGCCAGCCCCCACCCCGGTTCCCTCCTCCAACCACAACATGGCCAGACAGGATTTTTAATGCGAGTTTATATTGCTGGCTCCTGCAGAGGCATTTCAAACAGAAACACACAAACACCATAGCCCATTGTGCATTGGATTTAATCCAAGTCACACTATGGAGCACAATCCATGGCACTGATGTAAAGAACTGTGCATGTACAGAGGCTTTTGAGTTGCGAATTGCTGCTTTGTTTCACATTTACACCTGAGTTGGCTGTTGCAAAGCTTCCAGCTCGACTGAGTACAAGAATCAAAACATAGGATTCAGCCAAAGGCCAGATTAACATACAGATCCCACCTATATTCCCCCAGACTAAGCATCAGCAGCCAGCACACTCCATCTGAACCCAGGAGATGATGCTCAATGTAATAACTAGATAGAGGTGTCATTTTTACATGATCAGTCTGAGTGAAGAAGGCCCGTTGGCCCATCCAATCTCATCCCTCCAACACTGCATCAAACTGCTTTTTTAAAGGAGTCCACTATCCTTGCCTCTATCAACTTTCCTGGCAACCTGTTCCTGTCATTGATTATCCTCTGCGTAAAGAAAAACTTCCTGGTATCTGTCCTGAAATTGACCTTTACAACTCTAAATCTATCTCCTCTGTTCTATTGGCTTTATATTTTCAATCCCATTTAAAGTTTTATACACCTCTATGAGGTAGCATCTGAGTTGCACTCAAGAGTCATTTTCCAAAGAATCCCTGTTCACCCCAATCAGTATCATTCTAACCGTGTGGGACATGAATCAGTGGAATAAGCATCGAAGGAGTTGCCCTGGATGTAGGCCTTTGAACTGAACCCTGAACACATATGAGGTCAAGAAGGTCATTTGTTCCTAATATTCAGCTATTCCTATAGACAGCTGCTTTTGCAGACCACAGGCATTTCAGACAAATTCACATCTCTGTGCACCTCACTAATTAAAGTTAGGCTCACTATTGTAAAATGTCCAGCTGTGCCTGGTACAGCACTTGGGCTGCTAAGTTTTAATTGACGCATGGCTAACTTTACAATATGCATAACGGTAAGTGTTCATGGAAGGTAATGTGCTCGGTCCCTCAGAAAAGCCCATGTAGAGCAGAACAAGTAGAACAGTGTATTGGCACAATGCTCTTGGCAATTCAGCCAAGAGCCAATCGGGCAGAAAATTAGTACAATACTCTTCGGCTGGATACCCGAGTGTGTGTGTGCATAGAGCATTAAATTGGTATATTGCTCTGAGCCAGGACACCTCAATTCATGAGCTTTTATCATGATATACATGTGCCCAACATTGTGATTGAAATATCCAACAAAAATCAGATCTCTCAGAAGTTACAAAGAATGTACAGCACGGAATCAGGCCATTCGATCTAACCAGTCCATGCTGGTGCTTATACTTCACAAGACTCCAACTATTCCTTGCTTCCTCATATACCCTTCTATTCCCCTTTCCCTCATGTGAAAAGTCCCAGTGGGTTGGCAAACAGTGCCAGTCAGTGAATTTTGTGCAGCTCATTTTTGATCTCTGCCAAGTCACCAGAGGGAGACAGATTCCAGCATTTGAATTTAACTATTATCAAACAATGGATTAAATTTCTCTTGCCATACGCTTCGCCCACCAAACCCAAGTTATTTAAATAAGAATGGATAAACAAATGACCAAAATAAAACACTAACACCCAAAGAGGCGGAAAAGAAATCCACACATAAAATAATTTTAGTATAAAAATATATACTGGACATACCGGCAGGCTGTGTCTGTACACCCACCAGCACAGTTATAACTCTTATTCCACAGTAAGTGGTGCAGCATCAAACATTAAGAGCAGGAATCCAAAATGTTATTACCCACTCCAATTGTTCTCAGCTGGGGCTTAGGAGACTTCTGGGATTTGCAAATGCTGGTTAGGTTATAAAGTTATGAAAGAATTGAGTGTGAGGCTTCCTCTAATGTCCTAAGGCCGCACTAACCCATGCATACATGAAGATTGCAGATTAAAATCTGCAGTGCGTCAGTTAACAGGGAGAAAAAACAAGCAGTTAATGCTCACAAAGGCATTCTTGAGACCCCTGCCAGGAAAAGTGCTTAGCATTAAAAACCTTAAGGGCACGCCAAGATCGCCCAAGAACATTCAAACTTACATTTTAAAATTGAAATGTGGTTTAGAATCGGTTGCATTTATATTACATCTATTCACACAGATGCAATGTTAAAAACAAGAAATATTAAAGAGTATAGGGGCGGCAGACAGGCACTGGATTTAGTTGCGATCCCATGTCACATGGAGGAAAAGCACCAGCACAGGTAGTTTCTGCGGTGGAAGATTCTATGAATTCACGAGTTAAAGCAAAAACTGAAGTGTAACTTTATTCAGTGCCCCAGTTTCTGTCCAGCAAACAACTAACTTAACACAGACCATAAACCGAATTTCTCAGCATGTCTCTACCTAAAGATCCAGCTGATGAATCCTCAATCTTGCTTTTCATCCAATCCTTTGAAAGAACAACTGGAAGAGATGAAATGCTGCAACTGCTCTATAACCAGAGATGCGCCCATTCGGTGAACCGAAACGGGTAGTTTGTGGAGTGAAGACTTTTTTTTCCCCCAAAATCATTCCTACCTTGAAAAGCTATGTTATTCTGTGAAATCCTGTATTTCAGTTCAAAGCTCAGTGACTGGATGTTCTGTAGGACTTCTCTGCGAACCACCACTTGGTACCTGTCCTCCATCCGCTTTGTGCAGCAGGTTGGCCCCTTGTGTAGACAGATGTGTAAATTCTCATCTTCAATAAAAGAGAGACAAAAAAACAATCAGCATCAAAAGCACAGTGAAGCGAGGGGAACGAGGCAGCCAAACAAAAGCAATATCAAGCCCCAATTACTAAGGTATATCCTTTTCTGCATCTAATCTTTCGTCACATTTTTTGTCTACATTTCACATTGAATTTCAAAAAAGGATCCTATAAATTCTTGGATTGAGATTACCATCAAATTTGTGCTGTCAGCCTATTGCAAGTTCCAACAACCTTTCACTATCTTACATAAGAACTTTTATGGGACAGGAGCCTAACAAGATAGTTCTCAATCACAACCATAACCATCAATTTCTCTCTCTTTCCTGAAAGAAGTGTTGAACCTATTTATGCTGTCTGCTACAACGGCTATCACCAAATACTTTAACCATCTGATTTGCCATTGCAACCATAAGATTGACTGATTATAAAGTCAAACTTCATATCTCCCTCCTTTTTCAACATTGCAATGGCTCTCACTATCAGAAAGGAGGCAAAGGCCCTTTAAACTGAAGGAATTATTGCAGTGGTTCAACTTAGTACTTTGACAAGTGTTTCAAAAAGGAACACTGTTTTAAATTACTGCCACCCCAGACTAACTGCGTGCTGAGATAGAGTCACGGTTCTTACCATGCTAATCCTTTTAATGCTGGCAAGACAGTGAATCAATAAAATTGCATTTATAAAAGAACTAGCATAAGAAAGAACTTTAGCACAGATTGTTAGGCTGGGCCGGACACACATCAATAATGCTTTAGTGACTTTATGACACATTGCTTCTTTAAGGTTTAAAGGCTTTATGGATTCTCCCCTTAATTCTTTCTCCCCCTCACCCCCACCCCAGCAACTCCATCAAATGAACTTCTTGATCAGATTATTGGAGGCGAGAGGATTAGATGCAGTGGAATCAATCACATTCAGGAATAACATAAAGCAAGACTCTGCTCAGGAACTGGGAAAGACTCAACTGAGCCGTGAAGGATTGGATTAGCTGGGAAACCCATTGGCTTTTTAAACAAGGGCCCTCCAGCAAGGCAGCGGGGGCTGTAATATAGCCGAGTCTGAGTCTGACAACATTTGATTGAGGAAAAGAAACAGAGAAAGGAAAGAAGAATCGCAGCTCCTTGCTCTTGCACACTTTCTCACTCAGTCACAGATCAACATCTGGGAGGATTCAACAGTGAATGAATTTGAAGATAATAATCCTTACATTTGGTTTTGCAGCTTTCACGTCAGGAGGACATCTCAAGGTTCTTCACAGGATATAGAGTGCTGAAAGTGTAGTGACTGTGTGGTTTTGTGGGTGAATCTGTGTGCACACAGATACTAGTCAACCTTCTCAAACATTATTTTATTCTTCCTCCTGCATCGTGGAACTCAGCGCTTGAGTTTACATCCTCTGCAATGCAAGAAGTTCTACTCCTGGGCTGGACAAAACATTGGCCAAGTTTCCTTACTCCACACGTCTCTGTTTACCCAGCAATAAGTAGGAACCCGGTTGTTAGTCGATTTCTACCAAACCTATACAGCACCACGAGACTTTACACAACCCTAGCTCCGCAGGCCTCAGTAACAATCTGATCAGAGAAGCTGTAACACATTTACTGAGAACATAGGGCAGCTGGTAGCCCAAAGGTGGCTGCTCCAGATGGATTCCCCTCCAATGCACATGGTATCCATATGTTCTTCGTAAAATATTTACAAGATGATGACATTTTAAAAGCATACACTTCACTCAGATGCATTAAAAATGAGCCCCCTCACTTAAAAATGTAAAAATATATTTGTACAAAGGAACACTCCCCTTTCCCAGGGGAATTTATAGAGTCTATGACAATTAACAATATGCATTTTTCCCATATGATATTTATATAATCACTTTCATCCAATTATTTTGTTTGCAGGAAGTGTTGAGTTTTGTTGTCTCTGTATAGTTTATGTGTGTGAGTTGGGATTGGAGGGTACTGCCTTAATGAGTCTAAAATCGCCCAGGACAGACACCGTGTCTTGCTAGGGAAGAAATAAAAACGTGATGCAAATCTTGATAAACTGCTAAATAGTAATATTTTCAGCTAATCTCCTTGCTTGGCATTCTTTGGTCATCTCTCTCTCTTTGATTAGAGAGGGTGGGTGAGGGGAGGAAGATTAGCCAACTAAAAAAAAAACTCAGTTCAGTTTGGAGAGTCTCAAATGTCCCTCCCAGTTGAAAAGGAACAAAACTATGGAACTTGCTATCTCAATCCCTCCAGCTTGCCCTCTTCTGTTCCACTTTCAGAGCCTGAAGACCTTCCCCTTCGACTGCACCAACAGTGACCTCCCCCCTCTCTGCAGTAAACTCCATCCTTGTTAAGCACTCTGAGATGTTACCCCATATGAAAGGCATGATATAAATGCAAACTGTTGTTGATGATGATGGTAGGCACCATCCCACACGCTGCTGCCTCACTGCACCATGGTAACACCATCGGCCAGAGAAGCTGGCACACCAGTTTGTGACAAGATTGGTTCAGCCTTGAGACATATCATTCGGTATGAGACAAAACTGCATGACTCAATTAGCTAGGGAGATATTTGGCAGACATAATGCAGCCTCATAATCCCCGCTTTCAACCCGTCTGACCAAAGAGCTCAATACAATTATTTAAAATTATCATGGACTAATGTATAATCGGTTTTATTATCCTTTCACAGCAGTGGTCACCTTTCAACTCGCTCTATAACAACTCCATGACTATTTCTGATACATTCCTATATGCAAATTGGCTGCCGCCTTCACCCACAAAATAGTCACTGCACTTTACAGTACATCCTGTGGGGTGTTGAGATGTCCTCAAGATGTGAAAGGCAGGATATCAAATGTAAGGATTATTATTAATTTAACTCCCCTTTAACCACACTGGCCACATCACCAATCCATTTCAAATTCAATATTGGGAAGCACGATCATGATTATGTCTAGTGCCACAAGTCAATTATTTTGAAACAAGTCTTAGTTAAAAGTAAAATGCACACAGCGGTGGAGCTGAGCACAGTGAAACTCGCTGACATGAATGGGGATCTAGACCGGCTTATACCCCAGTTTCCCAAGAAACAGCTCCCAACAGAGGAAGGGAAAAGGAAGAGAAGACAAGTCTGAATCATCTGTAGGGCCGCCTAAGGCTTGTCATAGGCACGGACAGGGATCTCGGAGCTAACCGTGTTGGCTGCAATCATTAAGCCAGAGATATGTACAATTAGAGATGAATAAAGGGCAGCTTTTCTGAACATCACCATAAAAGCATTAAAAAAATAAAAACGAAAGCCAGAATACAAAAGAAGTGGCAGATATCTCTTGTCTGCTGACAAGTAAGCAAGCCCTTGGCAACCAATGCAGTGCCCTTTGAGTTCAGTTATTGAAGCGGACAGTCTGGGAGTCTCTGTCTGCTTAAAGTCTTCCCAAATAAACCACAAGGACCTTTTGACATGGTCTTTGGGAGTTATACAAACATACTCTAATGAGGGGCATGTCACATTGTTACTCAATTAGTGAGGGAGCCATGAACAATGTGCTTTACATCTGGGATGTCACAGACCATGTTACCAGCAAAGGACTGTGATCTGGGGAGAGGGTTAAGATAATGATTTAACATTTCATTCAGACAACTACAGATTGAAGGCCAGAGAGACCTGTCTCGCTAAGCTGGGATCCTGGAAAGGTGTTCTTTCCCAGTGCACGGATAGCAATGCCATCCTAGTGGGTCACCACAAGTGCAGTTTGCATGGGATTAGCAGGCATTGTCTCGACCTGCTTGCCCAAGTTTTGCTAAATAGTGGTTATAATAATAATCCTTGCATTTGATACAGCGTCTAATCACGTCTTCGAGACGTTTCAAACCGCTTCACAGAATATACTGTAAAGTGAATTGACTGTATATAATGTGGGCAGTCAATTGCTCATAGCAGTATCCCACAAGTGGTTGTGGAATGAGTGACTAAATTATTATTTTTTTAAAAAAAATTTGAAGGGATTATTAGCCCCGGAAAAGCGATCTGCCAATCGACTAACCGGGTTCCTACTTACTGCTGGTAAACAGAGGTGGTTGGAGTAACAAAACTTGCCTAACATGTTGCCCTGCCCAGGAATCGAACCCAGGTCTTCTCACTTGCGACGTGAGTGCTCTATCCAACGCATTACAGGGACTCCAAATTGCATAGATTGAAACATTCAGTGTTCAAGTGCTTCAGTCCCAGGCTGTGCTGAGTCAGGGCACTACAATTGACCTTAATGCCACTGAGCTAGGGACAAGGTAGAGATAATCAGTCTGGACTCCTGATTGCTTTACAAAGACCCCACTGGAAGTTGCACGTGTATGTGGACAAGACGAAAGGGCAAGACTGAGTTTAACTGTGATGTGAAGGAGCCTGCCAACATTCGCCGTCAAGCCTCACACATGAACAATAGCAGTTGGTTGAGTTACTGAACCAGAAACGGAATGAAATCTCCTTCAGGAGGGGAGGGGTTGAAGAAACAGTTAATTGGAGCCTTGTATTTTTCCCTTTGATTGTGAGCTCATCGTCATATTCACTGAGCAGAACGCAATCAAACAAGTCAGGAAATTCATTCACTGCAGCAAAGAAAGCGGCATAATAGTGCTTTACATTGCAAACACATCAGCAGGTAGTCTGCCCCCTTTCCCTCTACCCCTCAAAACCAGGCAATCATTTGAACTAGAACAGCTGAAAGCATTTGGTTCAAAACATGTACTAAATTATTGTTTCAGTTGGAGGTTCCATCAATCTAAGTCCTGCGAACTGCTGGAATTTCCATTATTTTCAGTGGGACAGTCTGTGGCCAGACATACAGCCCTAAATCATTCAAAGAAGCTGGCATAGGGACCAATGACTAATCCAAAGTAAGAAGAACATATAATCCTGATGAGAGATGAGGAGCTGGTGTTCCAGCTCAGAAACTCAGTTGTAACACTGGAGAGTCAGCAGACAGCAAACATATCAGAGAGGTAACCAGAGATTGTCCTCTTCTGTATTGGCTCATTTCCACACTGTCTTGTGATTTTACCAACTGAGCTATCAGAGGAGCTATTACAAGTTACTTTTTTTAAAAAAAACACGATATCCGTGGTGCAGCAAGATTTTACTAACACATGTAGCTTACAGATTTGTTTCCCACCGAGTCTCTGAACTCAACCCTGTGATTATGAGTATGGAAATGCCTTGTTAATTTAAACAGCGGTGAAAACAAGTATTTCCCAAAGGGAGCATCTACTCCCAAACTTCACTCAGCAGTCGATTGACAACAGCAAGAAATCTGGGAGATCAAAGTCTCATTCAATTTCCTTGGCTCTAGTTTGTGCACTATCCGGTTTGGAAAATAAATGGATTTGGAGATACCGAATGATAGAGACTTGAATACAGTTGCCTCTCACTATCCCCCTGGAGATAATGTGCCTGTGACTCTTGGTGCACTGAGCACAAGTGATTTCTATATCTGATGGTATCTTACAGAAGGAAACAATTCACGTTTCTAATTTTTCTGTAGCATTAAGGTGCTCACTGTTGGTCCTTTTTTTTGGGGGGGGGAAATCGGTTGAGTGACACAAGCAAAAACCCATCACTGTGCTTGAGTATCTAAACCAGGCAGGGTTCTACTCAGTCGGCCTCCCCAACTCCTCCCTCCATAGACTACAGATCATCCAGAACTCGGTAGCCTGTGTCCTCTCCCGCACCAGGCTCCGAGACCCAATCATCCCCACTCTCGCCCAACTTGCACTGACTTCCCATCACACAGAGAACACAGTTAAAGATCCTGGTCCTCACCTTCAAAGCCCTCCATGGCCTTGCTCCCCCCATTCTCTGTGACCTCCCAACTCCCTACCAACCTGCCCACTCCCTCCGCTCAGTGGGCTCCGGCCTGCTTCACGTGCCCTCCCCACCATTGGCAGGCAGGCCTTCTGCCACTCTGCTCCCACCCTCCCAGTCCCTCCACCTCACCCGCTCCCCTGCCTCCTTCAAAAACCGTCTCAAGACCTTCCTCTTCAACTATGCCTTCAGTCACCCTCCTTCCCCCACCCTGCCCTCCGCCCTCCCCGATCCCCAGCTCGGGTCCAAAACACTGATTGCCCAGCGCCTTCAGATGTCCTCCCGACATGAAAGGCGCTATACAAACATACTTTTGTTGTTATGCATATCACTTACATATGTGGATTACCTGTGTCTTGCACACTCTCTCACTAGAGAAACACCCCCACTTACCTCATTTAGGAGAGTTTTAGGCACAGTTTGGCAAAAGTCAAAGATTGGGTCCCCAGTGTGTGTTTGTGTGTACTTCTGGAGGTTATGCAACTATCAGACTGTATAATGGTGGTCACCTCTAAGACTATATTACAGAAGCTGGTGTTACACCCAGGATATGAGGACATTCTGGCCATCATCTTTTGAACAGGTTTTATCACTGATTTGAAAGCACAAGCAAACGAGTCAGTCCAGCTGGGCTATTAACCCTTTAAATTCGACATTTCTGACATTTTTGCATGAAATAGTCTTGAGTGCACCTTTACAACATAGCGAACGCTTTAGACAGTCAGAACACTTCACCAAGAGTCCTGGAAGCAGTAAGATAGTGATCATTCAGCAGCTCCTATTGAATTTCAACTCGGGAGGTATGAAAACTAAAATCAGCTGTTAGAGTTAAAATACACCCTGACGTTACACTGGCTCGGGAGGAATGTGTTTGGCCACAGATGATACTCTTAACAATTATATTCCGTGGCAGAGACGGACATTCGACTATTTTGACCCAGTTTAAAAAAGAAGTGACCATCGCTTAAATCTTGATCCAACACCTTTTCTGTTCAATGTCACCTACCCTTGCAATAACAGTCTGCTTGTCGCTGTACATGAAGCATGTGGAGTCCTGTAGCTCAGGGTTAGAGCACTCGCTTTGCAAGTGAGAGACCCGAGTTCAATTCCAGGCAGAGGGCGCAACCTTGGGCAAGTTTCCTTACTCCACACAGAGCCTAATAATAATCCCTCCAAAACCAAACCAAAACAATAATAAATTGGTCATTTTCAATCTACGACTGTTTGTGGGACATTGCTGTGCGCAATTGGCTGCCGCGTTCGCCCACAAATATACAGTCAATTCACTTTACAATGTGTTCTGCGAAGCGCTTTGGGACGTCCTCCACGACGTGAAAAGCGCTATATCAAATGCAAGGATTATTATTATTATTATTATTAAGCAGCTGGCGATGAAATCCATCTCTTGAACCATTAACTTCCCCGACAAGTTTAAGAACATCCAATGCACGACCCTGACCATTGCCCACCCCCAGTGCCCACACCCCCCAACCCCACCGTTTTCTTCCTGAAGCTCAAACAACCTCAATAATGCAACAATTTTTTTTGCTGCCCATAACGCACGAGTGAGTGCGTTAACCGAGAACAGAATGCAACAGCGCAAATGAGCGACGTGCGTTAAAAGAGGGAACAACACAGGAAAAGGTCTAATTTTTTTTGCAAATTAAAAAAAAAATTTTTAAAAAAAAAAGAGAAACTAACCGGTGCCTGGGATGTCGGGCACAAACTTGAGAGGTCCGATCTGGCGAAGTTGGAAGGCGGTCCTGACTTCATGACAACTGGGAGATCTCAGGTGAACCCCACCAAATGCAACCAGGAGGAGCACCAGGACACGCGTTAATACCTCCAAACCCATTTGCACATCGCCAGGTACACACTCACACACACTCACACACACACACACAACTTGCTTCTGTATCCGATCTCCCAGCCCCGACGATTTTCTTTTCTCTCTCTTTTCCAACCAACAAAAAAAAACTTTTTGACTTGCAAAATTGTCCACACGCGCGCACACACACACGCACACACACCAAAAAAAAAGTTTGCAAAGTTTTTTTTGGGTGGGTGGTGGGGTGGGGGGGGGGGGGGGGGGGGTGGTCTTTTAGTGCATCTTCTTCTGGGAACTCCGGAAAGAGACTCTCGTGGGTGGGTGGGTGGGTTGGAGGGGGGTGGTGGAGGGTCTGTCTCCCTGCAATGTGCAACGTCTCACATAAGAAAGCCCTCTTCAAAGGTGGTGGGTTTGGGTGCAAAAAAAAATTGGGTGCATTCCCTGTTACGCACACACTGCACACACTGCACACCACACGCACACGTACACACACACACACTGACTCTGCTCAGAGTGCGAGTCCTGACTCCACTGCGCCGTCTTTCCCTCGTGTCCTCTCAGCTCCAAGAGCTCAGGCTCCCCCCGAGCCGCTCAGCTCATTGGTTTGCTATAATTAGTTTGACACTCCGAGAGCCTCTTTTAAAGCCCCGTTGCCCTCCACAAACGCTGCATTGTTCGCCCTCTGCACTTGTTTCCAATATTGTACCCTCGCCTGCCTGCAGTTACTTTGATTTTGCACTCACTCACTCACTCACTCACTCGCATTTGGTCTCTGTGTGCAATGTGATTGCAAAAAATCCATCTTTCTCACACTCCTCCTAAATATTGTCTGTGAATGGAAACGTGCGCCTGTGTATCACTATCTTCCCCCCACACCCACAGACCTATGCAGTGCTGTAATAATTCATTTGCAGGTGAGGAAGGAATAAGCACACCTACCTGAAAATGTACATCGAATACCAGTGTGTGTGGTGGTGGTTGTCTGGATCTGTCATTGTCATTTGTATGCCTGGGTGTGTCTCAATTTAGCTGCATGATTCTGTGTGTGCATTTATCAGTTTATGTCTAAGCACTCCACTAATCTATTGTAATAACTGATAATTGGCTTTTCTCTCTCTCTCCCACTGCTCAGAAAGAAAGCCTTTGCCCTAAGTGGAGCTTAGCACAGGTCTGGTGTGGACATAGGTCAATACTCTCCCCCCATCGCCCAACCACCACTGCCTCTACTCCCCATTAACAGCAATGCTCAACAGCTAAGCACGACTGACTGATGATCATTTTGGCCAGGTATCACAGACAGGCCCAGGGTCCTTGGAGCCGTAAATAATAAAAGTGCAAAAACGTCACCAATTAATTTTAGGTGGGAATGAGAAGAAAGCAGGCGATAAGGAACGTTCATAAAAGTACTCGTTTACACCCCATGGGTCATCATTCTTGTGTCAAGACCTCCGCTGGAGCAACCGTGAGCCATTGGGAGTATGATTTCTACAGTTGATGCAATGTTCTCTGGTACATCATTTGATAAACAAAATGGTCAGCCACACACTGTAAATATGGTCCCCTGGGACCAGTTAATGTTGTGGGCCAGTATGTTGGAACCTCGGTTTAAACCCAGCCCAGACTGATGGGAAAAGTGACCTCTCTCTTACCTGTAAGGGTTGTATGTGAAATATGTTTGGGTGTTGTCAACTGAGTGCCTAGTGGCCTCCCAGTACAATACTTTCCTTAACTAGGCAGTCATTGGGACAAAGAGGGGCGACAGGATGGCAGATGTGCAAAGTGAAAAATGTTAGTCTTGTGCAGCAGATGCTCTTATGAATTACATTGTAGGTCAGAGTAGACCCGCACTTTAGATTGTATTGCATCCAATGGTGCTTTGTCTGACCTGGAGTGCTGTTAAAAATGGGAAAATGAAGTGTGAAAGATCCATTTCCCAGAAGGGGAAATGTCCCTTACATGTTCGTGAATAAAAGTACAATGTCCTTAATGATGGCTAAACCATCACTAACATCAGACCTCTTTCCATTCCGTTGCCCTCTATGGTACAATCTGGTTGTATTTTAGTGGTAGTTCATAGGCCATAATCAATCTGATCGAAACTGTGCCACATTTCAATTGAAATCATAATAATAATCCTTGCATTTGATATAGCGCTTTTCACATCTTCTAGACATCTTAAAGCGCTTCACAGAATATACTGTAAAGTGAATTGACTGTATATATGTGGGCGAAACGTGGCAGCCAATTGCACACAGCAGTGTCCCACAAACAGTTGTGGATCGAAGTGACCAATTTTATTATTGGTTTTTTTTCTTGAGGGATTATTATCAGGCATGTGGAGTAAGGAAACTTGCCCAAGGTTTTGCCCTGCCGGGAATCAAACCCAGGTTTCTCGCTCACGAGGCGAGTTCTCTAACCACTGAGCTACAAGACTATAATCAATTTGTCTGCTTTACAGACTGATCTTTCAGTTTATTTTCTATATTTAAGCACTCGGAGGCATTACGCACATGGTGGGCGCTGTATAAATGCAAATTGTTGTTGTAACTGTTTTGAAATAAAATGTGGCACATTCATTGCACAAGGCAGCTAAACAGCGAGCCTAGCTCCAAAGAGTTCATCTTTTCTTTAAGGATTGTGTTGGGAGTTGGTCTGCTCTGCTTGATAAAATCACCTGAACTTAAGTGTGAATCCCGCAAAACCTTAGTTAAGGACCATTCCCTTTACCAAATGGATGTTATTTATTAGTCGGAAATTGTTGAGAGGAGTACATTGAGTTGGCAGAGTGGATAGGGATTAATTATACTGAACTGGTCCAACTTGCTTACCTTGCTCTCTCTGCTGGAAGACAAAACTTATTCAGTCTTCTAACAGCTATCTCTCTTTCTCTTAACATAAAACACGAGGCTACAGAACAATAGACTTAGAACATAGGAAAGCAAGGAAATGGAAACTGCAACTTGACTCATCAAGTCTACTGTTTTCAGTTTAGCTCCAGCGCCATAGAGATCTTTGTATCCCATGGGTATTTGATTCTGTCTCTATATTTATTTCTGTTTTTACTAATACAGTTCCCAGTAAAAAAAAATCAACTATTTTCATGAAGTGTGAATCAGCACAAAATTTTATTTTGCAGACTTCAATTTTATTACTTTTTAAACACTTGTTTGTACAGCAGTTCCGTAATGCCAAACAGATGTGGAATAATGTTGGTTCCATAATAATAATAATAAAAAAAAATCCTTGCATTTGATATAGCGCTTTTCACGTCGGGAGGACGTCCCAAAGCACTTCACAGAACATACTGTAAAGTGAATTGACTGTATATTTGTGGGCGAACGTGGCAGCCAATTGCGCATAGCAATGTCCCACAAACAGTCGTAGATTGAAAATGACCAATTTATTATTGTTTTTGGAGGGATTATTATTAGGCTCTGTGTGGAGTAAGGAAACTTGCCCAAGGTTTCGCCCTCTGCCTGGAATTGAACTCAGGTCTCTCACTTGCAAAGCGGGTGCTCTAACCACTGAGCTACAGGACTCCACATAAACTAGAAAGATAGCAAGATTGTTTGATGCCTTGTTGTACAGATTGTATTCATGTGGGGTCACTGCTGGACAAGACAAAATTTTAAATGTTGCTTTCACTTGTGTCCCATTATATAGCTATTTTAGCCTTCGGATCTCTTCATGCTCCATGTGCACTGTTGCTTGACCTGGGAGTGCTCACAACAGAGATCATTTGTCCCTTATTGAACTGACAACTTGGTTGTCTCTTGCTCTGATTCTTCCAATTAACTTCCCCGTCTGGTGTGGAAGTCCATTTCTTGAGATTGTGGGAAACAAAGATGGAGATTGCAGATAGGTAGTTTGGGCAGTGTAGAGTGGAAATGGCTGGAGGGGAGAGTGACGATGGATTGGAGGGGAGAATAGGGTGAGGGTGAAGAAGGGGTGGAGAGAATAAAGATGGTTGGAGGGCAGAGTGAATTCTGGGTGAGGGGAGAGTGAGATTGTATGGAGAGGATGGGGTTAAAGAACAAAAAGAGAATGCTTAATTCCAACCCATAGGTTGGAGAACACTCAGGTCCAGGAGGAATTTTTCTCTTTGATTTGATTTTCCCTCTCAATTCACCCTGTTAAAACGATGTAGCCTCCATTCAGTATCTCCCCACATATCACAGCTCAATGTCAGTGCCTGGGAACAGAAACTCATTGCTCCCTGCTTTCCCCTGAACCAGTTAAGAAATCTCCTTCAAAATAGTGTCACACCAACTCAGTGTGTCAGCTTGCCTTAGGTGGAAGGACTCTCGAGTCAGTAGGTTGTGGTTTAAAGCCCTCGTCAGGACTCAAGGTTGACACTCTGATTCAATGGTGAGGTGTGTGCTGCACATCTTGTTGGATGTTAAACAGAGGTCCCATCTGCCTGATTAGGTGGATGTTAAAGATCTCATCGCACTATTCAAAAGAAGAGGGAGATTCTCCCAGTATATTGGCCAACAATCCCAGAATTGGTCATTCACTTGGGCCATAGCTGTTCGCAAACTGACTGTCACATTCGCCTACAAAATACATGGTGACTACACTTCACTACATCCTGTAATGTTCTTGGAGATGTCCTCCAGATGTGAATAGCACTACATCAAATGTAAGGATTATTTTAACTCTAACCTCAAGTCATAGGGAATCCTGATGCTATTGCAAAGCACAATGCAGCATTCAAAGGGTTAAGTCCATGTACGTGAAAGCATTCGTCAAAGTTGCATGACTGCAGGAATCCTATTACAACTGTAATATATGACATATGACAAATGACAACAGTCTGTGATTGTTCATTCCCAATGATAGAAAAACCATTCATAATTTTTATTTTACAGGACCTCTGGCTCGAACTGTAGTCAGGAATTTATTAATGGCTCTGAGAACAAATCAGCAACTATTGTTTCTGATCAGTGAAGTGTTTACATATATTTAATAAGAGTATGGCATACTCGTGAGTTTGCACATCAGAATGATAAATATCCCCCTCACCCGCGCCCCCACCCACACACACAAATAATGCCCAGGTACGTTTTAGGGAAACAGTATGAAATGAAGAAGTGAGTTCTCATACAACAGGTCCAGAAAAATTCATCTGCCT